AGATATCCAGCCACCTAATGTGAAAATTAGAGACAGTTATTGAAGAAGATACAAGATACAAGAGACATTGTACATAGGAGAATGATCCCTCAGTCCCCTTCAAAGTAGGCATCTTGGGACCTCACGCAGTTCTCCCAGTCATCATCAGCTGCCCTGTCATATTTTCATGTATGTCATTGAAGGACTGAAATCTCTTCCCTTTCAAAGGTGATTTTAGTTTTGGGAAAATCCAGAAGTCACGGAGCACCAAATATTGGGCTGTTAGGGGGACTGAATCACCTGGGTGATTTGATCTTTTGCCATAAAACTCTTCAGGAGACATGTGGCATGAGCAGGCGTGTTGTCGTGATGAAGCTGCCAATCACCAGTTACTCATAGCAGCAGTCTTCTGAATCATCTGAATAGTTTTTGCAGAGGAATACTCAAGCTTAACAACAACAACAAAAAAACTGATGCAGATTTGTTGCTCTACTTGCTCAGTCATTTTGAGTGCAACAGCCACAAAGTACACATGCTCACTCAATGGCATCTACCAGTCCCACTGACTAATACAGTGAAACTGTCATTTTTCATGCATGCACATTTCAGTCCACTATTCTTGGCTATCAGGTTACAACGTCATGCTAACTATTCTTGTTATATTAACAATGGCTGGACTTTTTCCAGACAGACCTTGTATTATTCAACAAGTTTAATTAATTTCAATAAACATATTTGATTAATTTATTTATATATTTTTCTCTTTTAAAGCTTTTTTGCCCTTCTGAGCAGGTTTAATCTTAAGATCTACAATCTATTAATTCCAAATAATTACACAAAATTACCTTTAAAGGAAACAACTTCCTAACACAGATGACAAATACAAATTTGAAAACTTTGTTCATACTGTATAGGTTAACTCTAGAAATCCTAAAATAGTTCAATTAACTTTCGAAATTAAAACACATCTTTATTTTAAAGATAAACTGAGGTTTCATCAGGCAAATGCCTATAATGCACTTCTAAATGTTTTAGTGAAAGAGGAAAGAAAAGATCAATGCCTAATTGAGCATCTTATAACTTTGCCATATTTATAGCTTGTTAGTTATAATAAAAATGTCACTCTCACCCACAAATCTAGGTTGACTCACTAAATTTTATAAGATACTTGTGTAAAACAAAGTTTATCAACTGCTTTGGAACTTTCGCAGTATGACATAAAATGCTTCAAACATGTTTCTTCCATGAAGGCGTAAGACGAGCTATACAAATATTTATGTATATGTAACCATCAGTCTAAATCGTTCAATCCTTTTAATCTTTCAATAACTACTTAGAGGCTCCAAACAAAACTGAACGAAAACATTTAATTTATCTTTTATCATATTTTAATTGCTTATTTGTTTGCAAACTAAATCTCATTTATAAAATGGTATATGTAACTAACTATATTTTAATTGTTTCAATGGCGGTATCAAAGTTAATTAAATGGTGATACATGTAGCTTTTTGATAATTACCAAATATATAATTTGTTGGCCTAAACAGTATTTGGAATGAACAAAATAATGAAAATGAAGCTTCATGAATGTTTGTTCAATAGTTAAAAACAGATGAATAGAATATAATGAAAACTTGAGTATGCCACATATAATCATAAATTGCTACAGGGTTTGGAACTTTCTTGGGTGAATGCTCCACTACTGAACAAATTCTCTAGTATTACTTAAGTTCATATTAAATCTTTCAAAAGATGCATTTATTTATTTTATTTAAATCAGAGTGGGTAAAATATATGGTAGACCGGAAAAATGCACCTACTTGAGTCTCTTTAATACCATTGTCCCTGTCTGGAAAATGACAGTCATTAAAAGAAAGTTGTGAGATATTATAGTGGCTTTGTGACTAAAAACATATATGTCCACTAGCAATATAAACATATTTTCTTTTGTTGAATGGAAAAATACATTATATTATTTCTATTTTCCTTTTATCCATTATGCATCATCAATAAAAAACATTTTTATGGGAGTTCTTCTTTTTCACAGTATGAATTATATTTGCTTAAAATAAAACTGTGGACACATAAATACCTTTGCAAAATGCAGTAAAAAGTCACCACATAGAATCACTCAGAAGTCCATCACAATCACCCCACAACATTTGTATCTAGCTTTGAAAGGTTTGTGTCAGAAATATTCAACACTAACAACAAATCCTATTTAATCTTCCAAAGCTTCCCCACTACCATCAGGCCATACCAACACTGCTCAGAGTGGATATATTGACACATTCAGAGTTCTCTCTTCAACAAATAACCTTGCAAATCAAATGAAATAAAAGTAGTTTCCAAAAGTTACAGAGACTCTGCTATTTTAGGTGTGTTGCATGATTTCTTTCAGGGTTAATCTAATATCCTTTAGCTGTGAGGTTCAGGGGCATGTGTGTGATTTCACACTTGCCCACACAGAATATGGTGTACTAGGGAGTAATTGTTCTCCAATAAAACTACTACCTGCAAATGCCAAAAACATCTCTATGACACATCAGCGTACTGAGGTAGCTTGGTTTCTCCCAAACCAGACCGATTTGTTATAGGAATGAACCTTTTTTGCAACCTTTCTTGGTTATCTACCTCTGAATCTCAACTTGGAGACCTGGTGAGTCAAAAACCCAAGACAAATGTCCTTTTTATATCCATATCTTCACAGATGTAAAATTCACATGGGAGCAATTATTCACAAACTATTGAAGAGAGGTTTGGAATTCATGCCAATTCATACTTTCTTTAAATGAATGTAATGTAGCCTCTAGGCCTGTGATATTTTATGTATATAATATAGACTAACAATAGTATAATATAGTATATAGAAAATATATGAAATAAATGCTAAAATTGTATTTTCAGGCCGGTTTCTCAAAGGTTTTTCCCATATGAATTGGAAGGGAATACTGCCTCTTTGGAAGGGCTGAGTTGGAGTTCTTTTGAAAGCTTTTGAAAATAATGGTCGAGTTCATTTTACATCTACAATTGTAATAGCTGCACAACTTTTCTTGTCTTGAACCATTTATTGCATTTACTTCAGGAAGGAATGGCAAGAGAAGGGCAGATGACTTCCTCCTGGATGGCCTCCTCCTATCCAGTTTTGGGAGTTCGTGGGAGACAACCCTTCCTCCAACACAGTCGCTGATGAAAGAGATCTATTAAAAAGAACTGCGTTGGTTTACACTGCAGATTGAATGGAGCACTAAATGACTGCATTAGTATGACTGCAGCGGGGGTAATGGTCGCCTCCAGTGGGCATATATGTTGCAATAATACTCTCACACAGGTGCAATAATTGTTCAAGTGTCCTTATTTAATTTGCTACGAAGTGGTACCCAGCATCTCTCCAGCAAATGGCCCACACACCTCCCCTCACCCCACAGTTTCATTTTTCTCTCTTAGCCAGTGAAAACAGATAAGGAAATATGTGTACTTTCAAATTCTCACCTATGTATCACGAGGGTGGGGGGGTCACTGAAAATCACTTGGGAACAGCTTCTAGGGGCGGTTCTCGATACCGCCCACCAATACAGTTTAGATGCTCTTAATCTGATCACCCCGTCCGCGCCTCCTCGGGCCTGGACTGTAATTTTCCAAACAGCCACCTCTCATTTGCAAATAAAGTTAAAAATCAATCCACAGATACAGAATGCTGACTTCCTGTCACTCAATTTTACAGGGTTTTTCTTTGTAGAGCTGCCAGATTGTGACCGATGAGAGAGAGAGAGAGAGAGAGAGAGAGAGAGAGAGAGAGAGAGAATCACTTGCTTCCTAAGCAGGGATTTGCCTGCGATGCGCGGCGAGAGGACTGCGGCGACTGATTTACACAGTTGGCGCGGAGGAGGGGCCGGGGGTGCGGGGGGGACGAGCTGGCGGAGGCTCCGACAATGAGCTGATTTGGGGGCTCCCGAGCGCCTCTCCCTCCGTGCGCGATTTGGGGGCGGCCGATGGATTTGCATTCGGGTTGCAGCCTGGCGTTTCGCATATTGCCTCCCAATACCCGACCTGGCTCTCCCAGTTTGGGTGCAGACATTGGTAAGTAACGTGTAATCCGATTTTAGTTATTTCCTCGGCCATTAAAGTGTCACTTTTAAAGCAGGTCAGTCTTAAAAGATGCTGCCGGCGCGAGCGTCTCTTCGGCCTGAAACGTTCCGCGGTCCCCTTCCCCGCCCTCCAACCCCGCACCCCACCCCCCACCCCTTCCCGCTTGAGAAGTGAGGGTGTTTGAATGGTGAGCTGTCTGGGGGCCAACTCTCTGCCAACAGTATCGCTGCACCTTCCTGCTCTGCCCGAGATTCCCCCCCAGTGCAAATCGAATTTGGTGCGTACAGCCAAAGCGTTGCATTCGTATCCTCTCTCCCCCGTTCTTCCCCACCCCCCACTCCCTCTGCCGTCTGGCCGAGGCTGGGATCCGGGATCCAGTCGCCCCCTTCCTGCATCCTTCGCGCCCCTCCCCACCGTCTCCTTCTCTCATCTTTGCACCACCCAACCCCACTCCCACGTACCCAAAGGATCAAGAGCAAAGACACCCGGAGGAGGCGAGGGCCAGTCCCATCTCGGATCGGAGGAGGCCTCGGCAGGGATCGCGCTGTGAGTGACAACCTTTCAGGAAGCGAAAAGAGGGAGAGACCCAGACGCCGAGCCAGGGCTCAACAGGACCGCGAAGCTCCCCACCGAATCGAGGGCACCGAGATTTTAAATGACAAAAATAACACTACATTTTTAAAAAAGCAGTCCGGGACACTCACTAAGCTTTGCCTGCCTGCCACCCAGGGCATATTAAAGCTGTGGTCGTGAGCTCTGTCACTGACATCGCCGCGCTAGGTGAGCGCCCGGCTCTCCCATTGGTATGCAGCGACCATTTCCCTGAAAGTCTCAAAGGTGGAAACACTTAGAAGGATTACAAGCGTGATTTGGTGGCCTTTGTAAAAGTTGGCGGCCAGAAGAGGACAAACTGCAAGGCTACGGCATGATGGATACAATTCAGCTTCGGGAGAGTTTGCAGCTCCGGCTGGGAAGTCCCTCGGAGCAAACCTGGGAGATCGTGAGCGCCCTGCACTGATAGGTACCACCCCGCCACCCTTTCCTACTTTGCCTCATTGAAACCAGTATCTCTTGAACGTGGGATGTGCATTGTAGAGCACATAGACTTGGGTTGCGGTGGCTTTTGTACGCTCACAGGTGCTAGGGGGTTGTTGCATTTTTGAACTGCATCATTTAGCTAGCTGTAAGGACGGTGGTAGGAGAGGTAGTGATGACTAACGTAACCTCGGACCCCTTTTTGGGGGGAGGAAATCGTAAGTAACTCCATCAAATAGGTCAGGTGGAGGAGCAAAGGGCCCCTCCCTCAGTGGAACGCTCGCTGGTGTTGTAAAAGGTAGAAGAAAAACGACTTGCGCTTTTAATCATTTTCCATTTCTAAACAGACCTATTGTGTGTTTCGCCTGGCTACAGCAGATTAGAAAAATGATCTGTAAAAGGCTCCGAGCTCTTCAGAAAATGAATGATGCAGCATTTTAATTATTGTCCTGGGGTAGATAGTTTTGCTTCAATATTGGAATATTTATCCTGTACATGTGGGAATTAGTGGGTTCGGAGACCGGGGGAAAGGGAGGGGGAGGTAGGAAACGGGCCACATGGGGGAGAAAGGGCTTCTTGTCCTCCCCGCGGACAAATGATGCCGGGCGCTCCCAGCTGGAAGCGGACAAACCCGGAGATTCAGGGCCCTCCATCCCAACTTTTGGAGCTCTATGCTGAGATAAAGGAAAGGACACGGGTGAAATCGCCTTTAGGACATGGCCCAAATCAAGAATTTAGAGGGTTGTAGTTCAAGGGAAAACAGAGAATGATTGCAAAGAGGGCCCTTTATTGTCCCTAGGAAGCTCGGGGAAGTCTCCCGGTTACCCATGGAATCCATCGCATTATGGTTTGCGATGAAATCCGCGAAACAGCCACCGCCTCTGCACAATGGGTACAGAAGGTGGTGTGTGCGCGTGTGTGTGTGTGTGTGTGCGCGCGCGTGGGAGGGGGAGGTCGGCAGCTGCTGATGGAGATGGGATTGCTCTGGTTCTCAGCGCAGGCTGTCGATGTTGGTCTGAAACCTATCTGAGAAATAGGGTGTGTCTGGAATATTAAGGATGCAGGACGTTAAAGAATCCTGCCCACCTGCTAAATCTCTGATAGCTGCTTCCAATCTTAGCTATTCTGGAGCTACACTTGCGCTGTCATTTTAAATGCAAAACATCATGCAGACAACCGATATTTAGGAGGACCTTTTGTTGACTTAAGTGATTCAAAATTTTTTAGGATGGTGAGAGATGGACATGCTAACTGTGTTTCTCCTTAAAATTTGGCTTTGTGAAGAGTACTTGAAGGGAAAGCCACCTCCGCTGGCTAACTTTGAGCCCTCAGGCAATTGAGGTTCAGTCTAGGTTTTCAGTAATGAGACAGTTCCTCCCTCCCTTCCCTGTTAGATGGTGACAGGCTGGTGTGTGTGTGTCTGTGTATGGAGGGGGGGTGTGCATTGATGACACACAGTTCACGCTAAGTGGACTTGTTTGCTGCACACTTGCTCCTGTCCAGTTTCTCCACAAAGATGCACTCCCCAACCCTGGCAGGTGGGACTGTGGAACTGTCAGTTGAGCCTTTAAGAATTCTCAAAGGGCTCTTGTGAACTATAATCTGGTGGCCCCTCTATACTGAAACAGGTTCCCTCAGTCATCCCCACCCCATGACCTTATGACTCCCTTTCATCCACTTCCCTGAAATAGCTGGAGAATATACATATCATACATATCATATGGATAGAGGTGGATATATGTGTGTGTATGTGTGTATATATATATATATATATATATATATATATATCCATCCCCATCCCACGAAGTCTTTCCCAGTGGAAGAAAATGAAATGTGTCATTGTTACTCAAGTGTTCTGCATCTCCTTCCAGAGCATTGACTTCTCTCTGATTTTAAAAAGGTAGAAGGAAACACATGGCTTTTGAATCCAGGGGAAACACAAGGTTTTGCCCTGCAGCACAGTAAAACGATTTCTGGTGCAAAGAGATCGAAGCAAAATGCAGGAGAAACTCTCTGTTCAAGTCTCTTGCCTGCCTGAGCTCTTACTCCTGACACCAATGCAGAGTTAGCAGGACTCAGCTCTTCTGTTTGGGGACCTGAATTTACCTATATCCCCCCTCTTTGAAGAGAAGTGTCTGTGCTGTGAAAAGAATAATTCTGAGAGACAGTCATACTTTTGAACCCATCTACACCAGAGAAAGGAGCTTTGGGGAAATAGAAGGGCAAACCAGTCAGGCCATAGTTTCCTTGGGAGTTAAGAAAAGAAAAAGGAAAAGGAAAAAAATGCCTACTCCCCTACCCCCTAGCATCTCCACCTTCCCCACTAAAGGAATCTTTCCCCATGGGTTAGTTTCTTTTTCCTTCTTTCACTTACTTTGACAGTTTATCTTGACCTCCACACTTTTTACCCCTCTTAAACACACACACACACACACACACACACACACACACACACACACACACACACACACTTTAGTCTGGGCTTCCTAGTGCTCCCCCCGGAACCCGTGGCAAATGCGTTCCCCTTCCCGGAGCTCATTTTCGAGACCTGGAAAGCCAGTTCCAGGGTTTTCAACACACATTGAAAAAATATAAAAAGCCAGCGCAAAGGAAGTCCGAGATTCTGCTCTGTGATTGAGCGGGCCTTCCTCGCTGCTTTCCTCCCCGCCCTTCCTCCCAGTGCCCAATGATGTGCTGCCGGTACCCAAAGAAAGCAGCCTCGCAGCGGCAGCGAGCGCTGGAAGTCTGCAGCAGCCCCTTCTCCTCCCTCCTCTATTGAGAGTGGCAAGCGGCTCTTCTGCATCCAAAAGAAGCCCATTGAGAAGCCCATTTCATTCCCAGCACGTCTCAAGCTCCTTGCCTTTTTTCCCTCTGCCCCCCTCCATTTATCCCCCTTGGCTTCAGTGAGAGAGAGGGAAAGAGAACCCTTAAACTCAAGCGTTTCTCATCCCTCAACAATGTCCAATGCTTAAAAAAAAATTCTCCTGCAAAATAGGTAAGTTAAAGACATCTGGAGCCTTGCTTGCCGAAATCTCAGGATCTCAAAAATAGGAAGAACATTAAAATAAAAATGGTGAAGAAAGAACTTATGTAGATTTTAATATTTTATAAGGACACTAACTGATACTGCACTGTAGTCTCATCTGCCTTCTCTCTCTTTTTCTTTAATTGTTTCTAGAAATTGAATATTGCATGCCTCAGGCAGATTTCTCTCTGCTTTCTCACTGGTTCTCCTTTCCTTACAGCTGTGTACATTATATGCACATTTAATGTAAAGATTTATTCTTTTCATTCTCCCTATGAATTTTATCGTTATGTTTTAAGTTTCAGGGTTGACCAAATATTTCCTTAGTGCATGTCTCTAAGTGTGGAGAGAAAATATATGCTAAAAGTTCCAGTTTATTTTTATTGATTAAAAACAACCATTCAATTTCTATAGACATTTCAGTGACTCAGAAAGGGCAATCTAATAAAGCTGCATTATTATAATTTATTTATGTATGCATTTTCATATACTGATATTAGGCAAGGAACAAGAGCCATGAGGAAGGCTCTGTATTATTAGAACAGTGTACTGTATTTGTTTCTTCTGATTAAAAAAGAATGGTGTCTTTCCTTGCAGTGTATTTCATGCAATAGATCATTTATCGGCAGATGACTATGAAGGGTTCCCCTTCTTGCCTTTAACTACCCAACTGTCCTCTAACCAGCCACCTGCTGTTCCAGTTCCAGATTTATCCAGGGTTCTTCAGTTGATCTGGAGGGCATGGACACACATTCCTAACCAAGCTGTTCGGGCAGATACTCCCAAGTCCAGCATCCTTTAACTGTCACTACCTTTAGCGCTGACAAGGCTTCTTCTTTAGAAAGGATTGTCACTTCTCAAAGGTTTAAAGGGCCAAATGATACATATGTAAAAATCTTTTAATTGAAGGAGATGTTATTAATCTGTGTTTGGGCAAAGGGGGTGGAGGTATAGTGTGTTACTAAGCATATACTATATAATTAAGCATGATGTAATCATTTCTTAAGAGAAACCTTAAGTTTTCCTGAGATACCAATCATTTTATATATCTCAGCATCTCATATTGAGCATTGGGTTCATATGTTATAATACTCTTTAATCTAACAGCATATTTTAATTTCAACTTTTCACGAGTAGAAACCAATCATTTAAGGAACTTTTTTCCCCCATCAGAGTTCAAATCGGATCTATAATGGCCACCTCATATCCATGTGAGCTTTAACAGGCAAATGAGTGTAATGGCCAGAATATTGCCATTGTTACTGAATATGTCTATACTTAAAAGGCATCACTGTATATAATGGCTTCTTTTTTGTATGATACGTTCTTTATGAAGTATGGCAGGATAATGTCATCACATGGTACAATATTTTAGTTTCCTAACTTCAAAATATACAATGAATTAGACATCATGATAGGTCATTTTGAATGTCAGTTCAACAACAGTCAGAGTTATTATTTCACTCCTAAAAGGCCCCACATGGAGGAGTCAATCAGACTAGTGCATAAGACTAACAGCTAAAAATCTGCATCTTTATTTCTGTTGCAGTTTTGTAACCAACCACGGATGATGAAACCTTCTATAGCGGAGACGTTTCACAGAGGAAGGATGCTGTGGATTATTCTTCTAAGCACAATTGCTCTCGGGTGGACTACCCCGATCCCCCTGATCGAGGACTCAGAGGAAATAGATGAGCCCTGTTTTGATCCATGCTACTGTGAAGTTAAAGAAAGCCTCTTTCATATACATTGTGACAGTAAAGGATTTACAAATATTAGTCAGATTACTGAGTTCTGGTCAAGACCTTTTAAACTGTATCTGCAGAGGAATTCAATGAGGAAATTGTACACCAACAGTTTTCTTCATTTGAACAACGCTGTGTCCATTAACCTTGGGAACAATGCATTGCAGGACATCCAAACAGGAGCTTTCAATGGACTTAAGATTTTAAAGAGGCTGTATCTACATGAGAACAAACTGGATGTCTTCAGAAATGACACCTTTCTTGGCTTGGAAAGTCTTGAATATCTGCAAGCAGATTACAATGTCATTAAACGCATCGAGAGTGGAGCATTTCGGAACCTAAGTAAACTGAGGGTTTTGATTTTGAATGACAATCTCATCCCCATGCTTCCAACCAATTTATTTAAGGCTGTCTCCTTAACGCATTTGGACCTACGTGGAAACAGGTTAAAGGTTCTCTTTTATCGAGGGATGCTGGACCACATTGGCAGAAACCTGATGGAGCTCCAGCTGGAAGAAAATCCCTGGAACTGTACATGTGAGATTGTGCAGCTAAAGAGTTGGCTGGAACGCATTCCTTACACCGCCCTGGTGGGAGACATCACCTGTGAGACCCCTTTCCACTTTCATGGGAAGGACTTGAGAGAAATCAGGAAGACAGAACTCTGCCCTCTGTTGTCTGACTCTGAGGTGGAGGCTAGTTTGGGGATTCCCCACTTGTCATCCAACAAGGAGAAGGCGTGGCCAACTAAGCCTTCCTCCATGTTGTCTTCTGTTCATTTTACTGCTTCTTCTGTCGAATACAAGTCTTCAAATAAACAACCCAAGCCCACCAAACAGCCCCGAACACCAAGGCCACCATCCACATCCCAAGCTTTATATCCTGGTCCAAACCAGCCTCCCATTGCTCCTTACCAGACCAGACCACCCATTCCCATTATATGCCCTACTGGGTGTACCTGTAATTTGCACATCAATGACCTTGGATTGACTGTCAACTGCAAAGAGCGAGGATTTAATAATATTTCTGAACTTCTTCCAAGGCCACTGAATGCCAAGAAACTGTACCTGAGTAGCAATCTGATTCAGAAAATATACCGTTCTGATTTTTGGAATTTCTCTTCATTGGATCTTTTGCATCTCGGGAACAATCGTATTTCCTATGTCCAGGATGGGGCTTTTATCAACCTACCCAACCTAAAGAGCCTCTTTCTCAATGGCAACGATATTGAGAAACTGACACCAGGCATGTTCCGAGGCCTACAGAGTTTGCACTATTTATACTTCGAGTTCAATGTCATCCGGGAAATCCAGCCTGCAGCCTTCAGCCTCATGCCCAACTTGAAGCTGCTATTCCTCAACAACAACTTGCTGAGGACTCTACCAACTGACGCCTTTGCAGGCACATCCCTGGCTCGGCTCAACTTGAGGAAAAACTACTTCCTTTACCTTCCTGTGGCTGGTGTTCTAGAACACCTGAATGCTATTGTCCAGATAGACCTCAATGAGAATCCTTGGGACTGTACCTGTGACCTGGTCCCCTTCAAACAGTGGATTGAAACCATCAGCTCAGTCAGTGTAGTAGGCGATGTACTTTGCAGGAGCCCCGAGAACCTCACTCACCGGGATGTGCGTACCATTGAACTGGAAGTTCTCTGCCCAGAGATGCTGCACACTGCGCCAGCGGGAGCATCACCAGCCCAGCCTGGACACCCTCACCTTCCTGGGGGGCCGACCAGCGCATCACCTTATGAGTTCTCTCCTTCCGGGGGTCCTGTGCCGCTTTCTGTGCTGATTCTCAGCCTGCTGGTTTTGTTTTTCTCAGCAGTCTTTGTTACTGCAGGCCTTTTTGCCTATGTGCTCCGAAGGCGCCGGAAGAAGCTGCCCTTTAGAAGCAAGCGGCAGGAAGGTGTGGACCTTACTGGAATCCAGATGCAATGCCACCGGCTTTTTGAGGATGGTGGGGGAGGTGGAGGTGGAAGTGGAGGCGGTGGTCGACCCAATCTTTCCTCCCCAGAAAAGGCCCCTCCTGTGGGTCATGTATATGAGTACATCCCGCACCCAGTTACCCAGATGTGCAACAACCCCATTTACAAGCCTCGCGAGGAGGAGGAAGTGGCTGTCCCATCAGTCCAGGAGGCAGGGAGTGCAGAGCGCGGAGGTGCTGGGACACAACCGCCAGGAATGGGGGAGGTCCTCCTGGGAAGTGAGCAGTTTGCTGAAACACCCAAGGAGAACCACAACAACTACCGGACCTTGCTGGAAAAAGAAAAGGAGTGGTCCCTGGCAGTATCCAGCTCCCAACTCAACACCATAGTGACAGTGAATCATCACCACCCTCACCCTCACCACCCAGCAGTTGGTGGGGTTGCAGGGGTAGTTGCAGGAACTGGGGGGGACATGGCTGCGTTTCGCCACCATGAGAAGAATGGTGGGGTGGTGCTGTTTCCCCCTGGGGGAGGCTGTGGGGGTGGCAGCATATTACTAGACCGAGAGAGGCCGCAGCCAGCCCCCTGCTCAGTGGGGTTTGTGGACTGTCTCTATGGCACAGTGCCCAAATTAAAGGAACTGCACGTCCACCCTCCTGGCATGCAATACCCAGACTTACAGCAGGATGCCAGGCTTAAAGAAACCCTTCTCTTCTCCGCTGGAAAGGGCTTCACAAACCACCAAACCCAAAAAAGTGATTACCTCGAGTTAAGGGCCAAACTTCAAACCAAGCCGGATTACCTCGAAGTCCTGGAGAAGACAGCATATAGGTTCTGACTGAAAAGTAAAGATAAATTAGTGCTTTTTTTTTCAAAAGAAAAGAAAAAAAATGAAAGAAATATATCCCTTGATCCCTTTACACGTTCCCCAATAAATCCATTCTCACAAATTTCCCTGCCCTGAACAGAACTGAAACCGCATGATAACTAGAAAATACAGATGTATGTGCTCCCCTCTCAGATGTGATTTGGAGGAAGGGCCATACTCAGATCATTAATCAATGAAGTGCCTTCGCAGACTTTTGCCAGCAAATGTTATCATTATTTTTTTTATACTGAAATTTGAGACATTGACTGTGCCATGTATAAGGTATACTGCGGATCGTTGTACTGATCCTAATTAAGTAAAATTCAATGTATCTTTTTATTTTTAGTAATTACTTTTTTTTTAGTTTCGTTTCGTTTGGCAGGGAGCAGAGAAAACAAGTTAAATTTTGTGTCTCTCTTTCCTCTTCCCATCATGGCACAGACCCTGTACATGTATTAACAATGCAGTTTGCTGCATGCCTGGAAACTGCAAGATGGGGAGGGAGGGGGCGGGTCTTTGCTCGAATGTTCTCACCCACTCTTTTTTCTCTCCCACACACACCCACAAGCAAATCACGAATCCCTGCACACAGGTCCCTGAACTGGCAGCCTCTTGCTTCTGGTGCAGACACACACACACACACACACAGACACTACTCCCATTCAGACCAATCTAATTAGTTTGGCTTTGATCCATTTGTCTCCTCTCTACAGCTCCACCTTTCCCTTCACCCCTAGTGTACAGCTCACAACATCTCTCCGACCACCTAGGAAAAGGTCATGTTCTAGGCTGGATCCTGCGGAAGTGGAGGCCTGGTGGTTTAACAGGCAGAGGCACACACCTAGGGAGGAGCATCCTGTTTGTGACACTTCATCCTGATGCCAAGATTTTTTGGAGAACATCTGCACTTTCTTATATATATATATATATATAAAAGAGCAACTGGGTATATATCACTAACAGCTTTGTAGGAAGCACTTTTAATGTTTTCTCTCACACACAAAGATTCAAAAGAAATGTGCATATATTTATTCTGTAATTTCAGTTATTATAAATTGTAAAGGTAATGTTTAATCATTGTATAGTGATTATGCGTCTGGTATAGCTTTCCTAATAAAAAGTTTTTGAAAAACATAATACATTATATATAGAGGATACAAAGCTCGAACCCTTAACTCCAGCTATGCCATGCCTTTCATGCTCACATTAAACAACAAAAAAAAAGAAAAACCTTTCTTTTACTCGTTACAGAGAAAGCTAGTTTATTAACAAGTCTGATGCACTGTGATGTTGATATATGTTATAACTGCCCCTATCCCATACCAAGATATAATTGGGACTTTAAAAAATCTGATATATGTAGTTCACTTTTTTATTGTATTATTATTTCAAAGTTAGTACCCCAATAATGCACCATTTTTTCTAGGCAGGATGTAATTGGGAAAATATGAGGTAACTAGATTGCTAAAAAGTCTAACATTAAGAGGAGATATTCGAGATCCAGGCATCTTAAGATACTAAATGTTAAAAGAAAGAGAAAAATTGCTATTCTTGTATTAAAAACATGTGCACTAAAATCACACACACACACAAGCATTAACCAATCAAAATCTAAGGCCATGGGGTCAATTGGACCGTCAGAATCCCTTTATCTGTGAAAGTTGTCGCATTCTGAGCTACTGTTTATTCCAACCACATATGGCAACTGGCCCCATTCATGCTTGAGCTAAGTCAGAGGAAGTTGAGTTTTTCTCTCTTTATAACATTAAAATTATGTTCAAAATTAATCTGACAGTAATCTAAGTTATGATCCATTTACATGCGAGTGAAACCAAAGAAATCGGATGTTTAAGGTGCCAGTACTTGTTTAGGAAAGAAACTGGGCTGATACAGAGCTTTGGGAGGCACTTACCTCACTGGGCCATTAGAGGGCAGCAGAGCTCTAGGGATTCACAGATCCTGTGTTGCTGGCTGAGAAATTGTGCGGTGGGCGAGTGTTGTCTGCTGGTATTTCCTCAAGCTGCCCTTAGTAGGAATTATCATTGTGTGTTGAATGTAATTCACGAGTCACTGATGCCTTACATCACTTTTTTCATAAACAAAGGAGACTAACAGCTTCTAAAGCTGTATAACTGATATAAAAACTAAGGCACTGTACTTGAAAAAAAGACATCCCTGTGAATGTCCAGAATATATTTAATAGATCTCTTGTTTAATTATATGTGGGTATCAACATGGGTATGCATAAAAGCAAAACACAACTATATCAATATAAAAATGTAACTTTTCAGGGCCACTTTGCATTTGGCACACTGTATGGAAAACTTGTCCTTCATTATTTGAGGTATACTTTGAAATTACTTCAGATGAAAAAAAGCCCACAGGCAAGACTCACTATTTCTTTATATACAACATTGAAATGTAGCTATCTAATGCAAGAGAATCAGGCCCACGATTAAACAGGTGTCATTGTTCTTTTTTCACTTTTCTCCTTTTTTTTTTCACTTCCCCCAAAGTCACCTTTTCCACAGTTATCTCATTTTTCCTATTCTTATTCTCACCATTTCTCCTTTCACTTCAAGTCTTTTTTCTAAACACAGAAAGTCAGTAGTAAACTTTAAGTGCTTTAAAATCTGATTTATAGAGTCCCTCTAAGCTAGTGATTTATCATGTTCCCATTCTTCTTAATTAAATACTTTGGTGAAGAGTAGAGAGAAGTGCTTAATAAAAACTTCAAGTACAAAGCTAGATATTTCTGACAGTATTCATAATTTTCCTAGCAAATGTACACACATTCATAACATGGTAACAAATCAGGTGAAAGTGCAATCCCTAATGATCCTGGTGCTTATACGTTAAAAATGAGTATTCATAAACCATATCAAATTATGATACAACTTGATAATTATATTTTATTTATTAAAAACAGAAAGTAAGACTTCTTAAATATAGGTAATAATTTTACCCTTGGATGAGAAATAAATTTATTTAGTGAAAATAAATTTATATGAGAATTAACTTTTGTATTAAAGAAGAGAATTTTTTTGCATCCATGGAGTTTTCTACCCCTTGTCTAGACCACTTATTTTTGCTGTGCATTAAAATTACATAAGTTAACTTTAGTTTGTAATTCCAGATATATTTTCTTAAAATGCCATGGGAACTGGTATAGGCATTATGATTAGAATTTGTTCTCATGTTTCTGCTGCATTAAATTGCTTCTTTTTTTAGAAGAAGGGACACATTGCTATTTCACTTCATAGGGATGGTCAATTTGAAGTGGACCCAGATCCGGTGGATATTTGTGATTATTCATTGAGATTTTATCATAAATTATAGTAATAATATTTTAAAGTAATAAAATGTACTGCAATGCCCCTTTAACTATTAGCTAATGAGTGGAACATGGATAAATGTGGTATATTAGTCTGATTCCATAATAGTTTTAACATATTATCATATACAGTGTTATTTGTGAATGCTTTTATGTTTTTATTTAAACATTATATTATTTTACCTAATTGCAAAACACTAAAAATAATATACAGTGTATAAGGATGACAACCATATTTTAAATAAAAGTTCAGAAAGAGAGATCACAAGAAAAGTTTAATGATTGAGCTTCAAAAGTTTTTTTCTTACCTAAGAATGTTAGTTTTAAACTCTTGATATCTAGAAAAGAATATTTGTGTTTAGCATTATGAACATTGATATGGTTGTTGATAAAGTCCATTGATATGCATAAGATAAGGACTTTAACTACTACGACACATTATTTTGATTCATTTAGTATAAATTCATTGTTCACACCACCCTAGTTCTTTGGCAATTACATTGTTTAAGTCAATAAATTTTTGTATTTTTGGAAAATGGCAATGACAAAGGGCACATTAATGAGTTATTTCTCTATGAGTGAGATATACAACTATAACGAGTCAAGACAATATGAGAGAAAAATGATAATGAAAGAACACTCCATTTTAAGTGATTTGAACTAGTTTACTTTGAACTTGGACACTTATAACTCATATTTAGCTCAAAATCCTCAGCTGGGAAACTTCAGGTAAATGAAGCATAGATAGTATCGTTAATTTCACCATATAAGTATTTTGTTTAATATACTATAGGCCTTTTAAATGTAATAGGAGCAATAACAATCATGTGTGAGTGTTTATATATACATATACATATAGTACTATTATATGTATATACACTGTATATACATGTATATAGTTTATATATGCTGGATTATGCTTACATGTAAATTAGGCATTTTCTCTCATGTGTAACAATTTCCGTTTTATGTGTTTATTTTCCTTGCTTCTGTCTAACTCCTGTCCAAGTGAAGCTGGATGAAATTATGAATCTTCACTTTAGGAATAGTTACATGTAAAAAGTAACACTGTAATTAATATTTCTGAACTTAAAAGTTCTTTTATCTTCCAATTTGTTTTATTTTGTTATTTAAGTCATAGAGGAGAAATTTCCGTCAAATTGTGATTTATTAAGTTTTTACAGTAATGAAACTAACCTCTGACAAATATGCAACATAAGTCAAATGGAAAACAAGTGCTCCTTTTTCATTTTTCTATTTCTAGAATAAATTTTACAGGTGAAAGTGATTTCAGTAGATTCATTAATTTGCTAAGACCTTTGCAATTGACCTAGGCATGCAGAAAATGTGAAAACTTGAAGGTAAAAGTAAGAGAAGCAAAGAAACTAAGACATTCACCCACCTATTTTACTTATTTTAATATCAGGCTTTATTTAAAATGTACGGTAATAGAAGTAACAATAAACAGAGGTGATCGTTTTCAGTATGCTTTTACAAAATCTAAACTGAAGGGGGAAATTTATCAACTCAAGAAAGCTGGCATAGACCAGAAGTTGCCATCTGTGAAGAGGTCATGGTTGGGGTCACTTCTTTAATTCTGATAGAATCTACTCATGAAAATAACATGCATATTTCTGAGAATACAATTGTTTTCTCTCTATTGCAATGATACGCATTTTCACATGTTTTTAAAATTCTAAAAGAACATCATACTTGTGGTGAACCTTCAATGATATATAGCCAAAGAGACACAATAATAAATTTCTAGTTGACCCTCATCTCACGATATCTTCAAACAGCCGAAGATGAACATTAGTAAGAAGCAGGTTTTCCACATTGCCAACCAGTGATTAAAAAAAAAAGGGCCCAGAATATTTAATTA